GAAAAAATGCTTTTAAAAGTAAAAAAAAAAAAAAGCCTCTGATGATCACCCGGTTCAGCTGGGATCGTCAGAGAGGTTGTAGGGGGGAATAAAGCCTTTAAAAGCCTCTGGCATTCCCAGCTGAGTTGCCTGATCCTCAGAGGCTTTTAAAAGCATTTTTTTCTGCAACCTCTTAAGGTTGTAGAAAAAATGCTTTTAAAAGTAAAAAGAAAAAAAGCCTCTGATGATCTTGCGGCTCAGCTGGGATCGTCAGAGGCTTTTAAAAGCATTTTTTCTGCAATCTCTTAAGGTTGTAGAAAAACTGCTTTTAAAAGTAAAAAAAAAAAAAAGCTGGCCATGCCCACACAGTCACATTATCCCCTCACCAAGCCACGCCCACAAAATAAGCCACACCCACAGAACCAGTAGTAAAAAATTTTAGAACCCACCTGGTATGCACTGTGCATGCGCGCACAGCGAACCAGTGGCAAACCTCGGAGAATTGGAGAATCCCTCACCACTGGATGGGAGCTGGTGTGTAGGACCAAGCCAGCCTGTTTATAGTTAGGGTGGGAGCACCATGCGCTCTGGAAGCCCAGAAAAACGGGCTCCTGGTTCGAATGCAGCTTTCAATTGCACCGTAAGCATTGGCAACCTTTTGGGTCCTGGATTTGGGTGTGTTCCTGCTTGCTGCCACTGGGCCTTTCCTTGGGGGCCTGGATGGGGATCTTATGTCATCACCAGAAGCCTTCTGGGGCTTTGGAAAATAGGTTGATTCTACCCCCCCTTCTTCTTTGTGGCAGCCCCACAAATATTGGAACGCCGTTGTCGTGTCACCCCTGGTCCTTCTTTTCACTTGAAGAAGTCAGTAGATTGGTAGATCAAACTTCTTAGCAGGGGGTGCAGCCGCGGTGGCACAGTGGTTAGAGTGCAGTACTGCAGGCTACTTCTGCTGACTGCCGGCTGACTGCAATTCGGCAGGTCGAATCTTACCAGGTTCAAGGTTGACTCAGCCTTTCGTCCTTCCGAGGTCGGTAAAATGAGGAGCCAAATTGTTGGGGGCCATAGGCTGACTCTGTAAACCACTTAGAGAAGGCTGCAAAGCACTGTAAAGCGGTATATAAGTCTAAATGTTATTGCTATTCCTTCCTTCCTTCCTTCCTTCCTTCCTTCCTTCCTTCCTTCCTTCAGGGCTGTCTTTTGTGAATGACGGTACCAGCCTCTCCTCTTCCTCCCTCCCTTCTTTCTTTCTTTCTTCCTCCAGGGCCTCACCTCAACACCCATCCACTGAACCTCCACTCTCCTTGTTCCTCTCCATGCGGCCAGGCGAGTGGAGCAACGAGCTTCCAGAGGCAGGGCTGTCTGTCTGCGATTCTTTAGGTTAAATGGCATGATTTCCGTAAGAGACATAACTTTACCGTCTTAATCCGCATGACCGACCGACTGCCGACGCATGAGCTACAGTTCTTTCTCCTGACTTCGAGAGGAGAGGGGGCCGGGACAATTCCCCAGGAGAAGGAAAAAAACGGATGCAAAAAATTGTGTTTTGTGTGTTTTGCGTGTGCGTGGCGGGGGCCTTCTTTCCAAAGCCCCTTCTTTTGACGTGGTGCCTTGGCCTCCTGGGGAAGAAGGAGTAAGCTGGACGGAGATCACTCGCCATCCCATCCTCCCCAGCTCAGCCCTTCGGGTTGCCTCTCTGCTCAGCTCTCCATGCATCCATCCGGAACCCCAGAAGGCTTCTCGCTGGAGCCCTTCTGGCTACTCTGCCCAGTGGTTCTTCCCAAGGTTGGGATGGAAAGCGTGACTTGGATAAATGCTGAGATCTCATGTATAATAGAATATGGACAGATTACTTACTATGCAAACACCGACGACCGAGGCGTTCGGCAGAAAACGGCGTTCGGCTCCAATCCTTGGAAGCGTCCGCAGGCAGCCAGCCCTTTGGGAAGGAAAAACGAGAGACGAGGGGAGAATCAGAATGTCTTCGAATCGGGAAGGTCTCCCCGCCTCCTCCCGATCTCCTTGGAACCCATACACACATGCACACAGGCGTGCCCACACCCACTCACGCCCAACACACGCAGAGTGGTGGTTTTAGAGACGGGTGGGAAAGGAAGAAGGAGGAGAAGAAGAAGGGCTAGTTCATGAGCCTCTACTGAGGCACACCACCAAGGGTGCGCATCGCGGCGCCTTCCCGCAATTTGGCCCCGGGCTGGAAGTGTGCAACCGCCCGTGTGCGCCGATGCTTGGCTCCACCCAGCACAATCTGTTGCTCAGGAGAAGGGCAGCGTGGTACCCTTGCCTGCACTTCCGTACGGGAGGACCCCAGGGGGCCTCCTCACTCAGCACAGACGTGGCATCCTGCCAACACTTCTTGGACCAGTCCTAGCTGGGGGGAACTGAATTCCTTCCCACTTGCCCCCCTTTCCCCCTCCTCCCCCGCCAGCAACTTCCTTGATCAGACCTGGCATGGAGGAAGTGATGTTCCTCCTCTTCCTCCTCCTCTTCCTCCTTTTTCTTCCATCACCCCCACCCCCACCCCCACCATCAAGATTGGCTGCCCCCAATGCTTGGGAGAACTCCTCCTCCTCCACCAACAAGCTACACTCTTGGGACAACTGCCCCGAGCAATAGGCGGCTCCTTTGACTTCTGCGTCAACATTTGGAGGCCCCCAAGGGATACAAGGGGCACGTGGGTTGAGGGCGGGTGGGCACAGGGGATAACCCAGCAGTCAAGGGGACGATCAAGAGGAAGCATGGACCATCTTGGATTCCTTGACCCTCCTCTGTGGTCACCCCGTGGCAGCATGGCACTCTTCCCCGACTGCAGCGCCACTTTCTCGGCCCCTGCGTCTGGGACCCTGCCACGTTGGCCCTGCCCAGGTAGAGCAAACCAGGAGGAGGAAGTGCTTGTGGGGTGGGGGTGGGAGGTTGGGGGGAAAGGCAGGAAGGCAGTGAACGTTGGAGGAAAGGCTAAAAGCCATGCCAGGCATCTCCCCAGGGAGACTAACTGTCGCTATCCAGACGTGCAAGGAACAAACTTCCTCGTACCCCACCTCACCCTCCCATCACCTTGATTTGCAGCCTGTATGGCCTGCCCACCCCCACCAAATTGCTGACACGGCATCGCCCTAGATTCCGGCGTGGGCCTTCCCACCCACACCCACCTACCCACCCACCCCTGCCCTCCGCCCCCATGCTTTTGGCCTCCAGTAGTGCATAGAAAATTTAAAAACAAAAAAAATTGAGCTGTGAACTGCGTCCCTCTCGCCTGCCTGCGGGGGGCGCCGCTTTTGCCCGCCGATCGCTAGTTGGCGCTGTCAAGGAGGGCAATGCCTAGAGAATGCTGCCAGTGTCTGCACTCTAGATGCTTTTTAGAAGTTTTGGGATTACTTTTACTTTCTTTTTTATTGTTATGGAAATTTGAGCCTTTTGGCTCCATCTTGTCTTCCCTCCATCCCCAATTCCAGTGTATAGAACCATCCTCCGTCTCCACCAGCTACCAGAATCCAAGTTAATAAATAAATCAACACCACTCTGGTGTCGCCTCTGCTGCTTTTTTGACTTGCCTGGGTATCTGGGGTGTGTGTCTGTTTTTCTCAACCAAGCTTGGGCGCTGTTGGCACTTTCGGGGGTCACGTTAACCGGGGGAGGGGGAAGTGAGGAGAAGTAAGGTTAGGAGCGAAAGCTTTCCTAGGGTTGGCAAAGGATGGTATTTGTTTAAAAGACGGAGTAAAGTCCTAGTAGTGTCCCTCTTTGTCTGTGTGTGTGTGTGTGTGTGTGTGTGTGTGTGTGTGTGTGTGTGTGTGTGTAAAAGTTCTGGGGCATTGCATTTTCATTTCTTTCCTTTTAGCTGTCAAGAAGCTTCATTTTCTGGCAGCATTGTGGTGCTCTTCATCCGAGGATGTAGATCCAGAAGTGGTCCTTGATCTGATCAAACAGACCCACATCTTAGATGATCATGACTGCTTCATACATCAGAAAGAATTAGTCTGGTGGCTGTCGCCCCAAAACTATCTGGTTATTTTGTGCTTAGATCATCCATCCATCCATCCCTCTATCCCATCCATCCATCTATTCATCCCTCTATCCCATCCATCCATCCATCCCACCCAACCATCCATCCATCCATCCCTCTATCCCATCCATCCATCTATTCGTCCATCCCTCTATCCCATCCATCCATCTATTCATCCATCTATCCCATCCATCCATCCATCCCACCCAACCATTCATCCATCCATCCCTCTATCCCATCCATCCATCTATTCGTCCATCCCTCTATCCCATCCATCCATCTACTCATCCATCTATCCCATCCATCCATCCCACCCAACCATTCATCCATCCATCCCTCTATCCCATCCATCCATCTATTCGTCCATCCCTCTATCCCATCCATCCATCTATCCCATCCATCCATCCCACCCAACCATTCATCCATCCATCCCTCTATCCCATCCATCCATCTATTCGTCCATCCCTCTATCCCATCCATCCATCTATTCATCCATCCATCCATCCATCTATCCATCCCACCCACCCACCCAACCATCCATCCATCCATCCCATCCATCCATCTATTCATCCATCCATCCATCCCACCCATCCATCCATCCATCCATCCATCCCTCTTTCCCATCCATCCATCTATTCATCAGGAATCTATTCAGGCAGGAAAGTAAGGCTGCTCTTACCCCGTTTCTTCTCTTTCCTCCACCTCTTCCTGGAGGGCTGGAACCCCAAGGATCCAACTTGTCTGGTCCTCCTGGAACTTCAGCTGGCTTTATTGTAAAAAAAAATGCATCTGTATTTTCTATCTCAAGGTCTTCTCCTACAGGCACTGTGTTAGGAGGTTGTATGCTACTAAATTGTAAAGTTGGGCTGTCTAGATTTCCTTTGGTTGATCTCTCTCTCTCTCTCTCCCTCCCTCCCTCCCTCCCTCCCTTCCTTCCTTCCTTTCCCCCTCTCTCCCTCTCTCTTCTTTCTTTCTTTCTTTCTTTCTTCCTTCCTTCCTTCCTTCCTTCCTTCCTTCCTTCCTTCCTTCCTTCCTTTTTTCTTTCCCTCTCTCCCTCCCTCTCTCTCTCCATCTGTCTTCATTCTTTTTCTTTTTCTTCTCTCTCTCATCTTTCTTTCTTTCCTTCTCTCTCTCCCCCTCTCCCCCTCTCTCTTCTTTCTTTCCTTCCTTCCTTCTCTCTCTCTCTCTTTCTCCCTCTCCCCCTCTCTTCTTTTTCATTTCTTCTTTCATTCTTTCTTCCTTTTTCTCTTTCTTTCCATCCTTCTTTCTTTCCCTCTCTCCCTCTCTCTTCTTTCTTTTCCTTTCTTTCCTTCCTTCTCTCTCTCTCCCCCTCTCCCCCTCTCCCCCTTTTCATTTGTTGTTTCTTTCTTTCTTTTTCTTTATCTTTCTTTCCTTCCTTCCTTCTTTCTTTCCCTGTCTCCCTCTCTCTTCTTTCTTTTTCTTTCTCTCTGTCTTTCTCTCTCCTCTCTCACTCCATCCATCACCCCCCCCCAAAGCAAAGGCAGCCTCCTCTATCTTTTTCTCCTCCCTCCTGCCAGCATTATTAGCCATGTGTTAAGGTTCTGGTGTTGACCGTGGAGCTCTCAAAGGGCCATTTATCTCCGAGCAGCCAATCCAGGTCCTGCGCTCAAACGGAGCCCAATGAGAAATGGGAGAACCCAAGGCCTCCAACCTATCCGAGGGCTGATATTCTAATCAGCCCAGTCTTTTATCAGAGGAGAGGGAGCTTCCTTTGAAGTTCAGCGTGGTGGCCACTCAGTCAGTCAGTCTTGGTTTCGGAATTTGCAGGAAACTCATGGACTTGGGTCACTGTTGCCTCGGCCAGCAGTGCAGCTCCGGGGTCCCACCTGCCTTGATCCCAGCAAAAGGGCTTTCCAGAAAGAACCGCAGGTTGGCATTCCTAGGGCCTCGGGATGGCATTGCCAACGAGCCAAGCGCCTTGGGAAGCGTAGAAGTGTCACTCCTCGGTAGGCGCCTTTGCCAGCAAGCGGTCGAGCTATGGACTCCAACCTGCAGGGGACATTTCTCCTCAACGGCCCTCCCCTGTCCCCGTTCGCGGAAGTGAAAACCCCCATGTGCCAGTATTCAGTGCAAAACTCCTTTTACAAACTCAGTCCTCCTGGACTCAGTGCCCAGTTGGCATCTGGCACACCGCACGGCATCAGTGACATCCTCAGCAGACCGGTGGCTCCTCCAAATAACATCCTCCTGTCCGGCTACTCCCATGTTGGGGGATTCAACGGACTGGGCGCCCAAGGCATGTACTATGGTCCCCAAATGGGCAATTTCGCCAAGACGGGAAGCGAATATGGAGCCAGGGGCAGGAGCTGTTGGGCCGAACCAGTCCAGGAATGGCACGAAGGCCGAGTATGTGGCAACTGTAAGTAACAAACTAGGCATGGGGAAAGCTGCATGGCATGGGGACACGGTGATCATTGGTGGTGGTTGAGAGCACCCCATAGGGGGTGTCATTGGTCTCAAAGGGCGAAGGATAGGTAGCAAAACTTAATCAGACTTGGAACCTGGTCCCAGGATTTGTGCGGTCATTCCAGTGACTTATTATGGGGTGCTGGTTGGTTTTAAATGTGTGGTGTTTTCCAAGGTGACATGGGCAGGTCTCAGCTCCAGAGCTCTTACAACCCAATTCCTGTAGAGAAGATACCACTGTGGAGGGGAGGGGGAAGAAAAAAAAATGGAGCACAAACTATATAGAAGGGAGGATTAATTTGCCGAGGAAGCTGAATGTGGATTTTTGTTGGAACGGAAGGCTGAGTGACGTTGGGAGGTCCCGGAAAGAGGGGCGATCTGAATAAGATTCTAAGGGATGAGATGGGCTGTTTTTTCGATAGAAATAAGAGTATAGGCTACATTTTATGGAGTTGCTGATAAATATAGAACATGATAGAGCCGCCAAGGCTGAGGAACGTACAAACCTCCGCAGCAGTAATGTGAATAGAATAGAATAGAATAGAATAGAATAGAATAGAATAGAATAGAATAGAATAGAATAGAATAAATAGCACAGAACAACAAAACTAGAATGAGAATGAGAATGAGAATGAGAAAGAGAAGAGAAGAGAAAGCATAGGAGGGGAGGAGGGAGAGAGGAAGAAAGAAGAGGAAGGAGGGAGAGGAGAAGAGAAGAGAGAAAATAGCACAGAACAACAGAACAAAACCAGAATTAGAATTAGAATAGAAGAGTTGGAAGGGACTTTGGAGATCTTCTAGTCCAACCCTCTGCTTAGGCAGGAAACCCTACACCACTTCAGACAAGTGGTTATCCAACCTCTTCTTAAAAGCTTCCAGTGTTGGAGCATTTACAACTTCTGGAGGGAAGTCGTTCCACTGTTTTAACTGTCAGGAAATTTCTCCTGACTTCTAAGTTGCTTCTCTCCTTGTTTAGTTTCCGTCCGTTGCTTCTTGTCCTGCCTTCAGGTGCTTTGGAGAATAGCTTGACTCCCTCTTCTTTGGGGCAGCCCCTGAGATCTTGGAAGACTGCTATCCTGTCTCCCCTGGTCCTTCTTTCCAAATCAAGAGAAAGTTCAGAGATGCTAGAGTTAGAACAGCAAGTCCGTGATGGAACATGTGCAGAGGTTTTGCCTCTGCTGCATCACTCACAGATGACTTTTCCCCATTTCTGGAGTTGTGCCTATCTGTCCTCTTGCCTCAAATTCCTGCACTCACTTTTGTTTGGAAATTTAGCATCACAAAGAATTTTTTTTTTGTTTTTTAAATGGCCTTCTAAGAAGCCCACCAGATTCACCGGAGGGGTGGGGGGACGGAAAGATTTCTCGAATCTTCCTGGTCTGCTCGTTTTCCTAGACAAAGGCCAAAAACCCTCTGGATCTGAGCTGCCACCCCAGTGCCCCTTGGAATGACGGATGGTGACAGGGAGTCCAGGGTAGCTGATAGGAAGCTCAATTAAGAGCTAGGAAAGAGGCAAGGAGCAACTCATTAGTAGCAAGGGCAGGGCCAACTATCGACCCCGTGTTTTTTCATTGTGAGGAAAAGGACTCTCTTTCTTTTTACCCTGAAGAGCTGGTGGGGGCCATCTGAACCCCAAAACTTCATTGCGTTCTTGGGTAGAATCTCCTAGCCTTTCGAATCATCGTAGACCCCCCAAAAAGGACTCAATGGAGAAGAAGCAAAAAGATATTCCATACTGGAATTTATCTTGCAGAGAGAGAGAGAGAGAGACAGCAAAGGGTGCAGAAACCCCCCCCCCAATTGTACTCCGGAGCAGGCTCTAGAGGTTACCATCTTCTGCGCAAACTGAGATTCCTAGAAACATGGTTCTCCAAAGCACCTGAGGGCAGGACAAGAAGCAATGGGTGGAAACTAACCAAGGAGAGAAGCAACTTAGAACTAAGGAGAAATTTCCTGACAGTGAGAACAATTAATCAATGGAACAACTTGCCTCCAGAAGTTGTAAATGCTCCAACACTGGAAATTTTAAAGAAGATGTTGGATAACCATTTGTCTGAAGTGGTGGAGGGTTTCCTGCCTAAGCAGGGGGTTGGACTAGAAGACCTCCAAAGTCCCTTCCAACTCTGTTATTCTATTCTATTCTGTTCTGTTCTGTTCTGTTCTATTCTATTCTATTCTATTCTATTCTATTCTATTCTATTCTATTTATTCTATTCTATTCTATTCTATTCTATTCTATTCTATTATTCTATTTATTCTATTCTATTCTATTCTATTCTATTCTATTCTATTCTATTCTATGCTATCCTATCCTATCCTAGTCTAGTCTAGTCTAGTCTATCTAGTCTAGTCTAGTCTACATTCTCTCCACCCTTCCCCTCTCCTCCCCTCCCCTCTCCTCTCTTTCCCCTTCTCTCCTTCTCTTCTCTCCTTTTCTCTCCTCTCCTTCCCTCCCCTCTCCTCCCATCATCTCTCCTCTCCTCTCTTTCTCCTCTCTTTCTCCTCTCCTCTCCTCTCCTCTCCTCTCCTCTCCTCTCCTCTCCTCTCTTCTACTTCTACTTCTACTTCTACTTCTACTTCTACTTCTACTCTATTCTATTCTATTCTATTCTATTCTATTCTATTCTATTCTATTCTATTCTATTCTATGGTTGACCTCTGCAAAACCACACACTCCGAGACAAGCTTCAGCTATTAAAATGACATGTATTGGACTGGTAGAAAGGGACAGGGACACAACCATAGTAAAGTCTCACTCGTTCACACCTACACACAAACACACACACACACACACCTTAAAAAAAAAACAGCAGAGGGTGAATTGGGATTGGCTGTTTGCTCTGAATATTTCAATCGATTCAAATTTGGGAGTCAACTAGTTAAAGCGATGCCACTATTTCTCTCGATCGGCACATGCATGATTAAACGTACGTTGAGAGGGTTAATTGATTTTGAGGCATTGGATTAGACTTAGACTTTAGAATAACTTTATTGTCACTTTGGAAGTACGCTAATCGGCATACATTAAAATGAAATTTCGTTGCACACAGCTCTCAAAAGTTCAGCACCTCCAATATGCCCTACGTAAACATGACAAAATAAATAAATACAAAATTACGCATATACCCACATATATTATATGAGACAGAGAAACAACACAGTCTAGTCCAGATGTATACATGTACATGGTGAGAAAAACAAATCTTGTGAGTTTACCAGATGGATGGCAGAGGGAACAAAGCTGTTACAGAACCTTTTAGTCCCGCTAGAAATACTTCAAAACCCCCTCCCAGAGGGGAGCAACAGAATCAAACGTGAAGTGGGTGTGTGGGCGCCTCTCACAATGCTTTGAGCTCTAAGCACATAGTGCTTATAAGCAGCATCCTGAATGACAGGAAGTCAGCTTCTTATGATCTTCTCTGCTGTCCTCACCACTCTCTGTAGGAGCTTTCTAGTTGAGGTGCCGCTGCCACCAAACCAAACAGGGATGCAGTTTGTTAAAACGCTCTCCGTTGTGCCTCTGTAAAAAGTGGCCAGGATAGAAGAAAGATGTGCTTTCCTCATCCGACGCAGGAAATGCAGATGCTGGTTTGCACACTTGACTAGGGATGACGTGTGGATTGAGCTGGGCAACCTGATTTAGAACGTCGATTCAAAGAAGCAAATGGACGGAACTGCTTTCAAAACTGAGTCTGCAGGTTGTCGTGTCACACAGCTCTAACTAGAGCCTTCTTTCTTGGGGAGAGGTCCAGGCTCTTGTGTTTGTGAGCTTTTTAAGAAGCCCCTGGCATTTCATCTGGATATCCCAGAGGTGGTACTACAGACCCAAGGGCATAAATACCAAGATCTGGCAGATTGGCTCATCCGTGAAGGAAAAGGCTGAAATTGGACCAAATGTAAAAATGTCCCCTCACTGAGAAAGTTGCCATATTTTTCGCTCCATAAGGCGCACTTTTCCCCCACAAAAGTAGGTGGAAATGTCTGTGCGTCTTATGGAGCGAATATGGGTGACAGCACCTTTCCATCTATGAGCCACAGTGGCACAGTGGTTAGAGTGCAGTACTGCAGGCCACTTCTGCTGACTGATTGCAATTCGACAGTTCAAATCTCACCAGGCTCAAGGTTGACTCAGCCTTCCATCCTTCCTAGGTGGGTAAAATGAGGACCCATATCGTTGGGAGCAAGATGCTGACTCCGTGAACCGCTTAGAGAGGGCTGTAAAAGCACTGTGAAGCAGTATAGAGTCATGGTGGCATTGTGGTTAGAATGCAGTATTGCAGGCAAACTCTGCACACAGCCAGGAGTTCGATTCTGACCGGCTCGAGGTTGACTCAGCCTTCCATCCTTCCGAGGTCGGTAAAATGAGGACCCAGATTATCGGAGGGCAAGAGGCTGACTCTATAAACCGCTTAAAAAGGGCCGTAAAGCACTGTGAAGTGGTATATAAGTCTAAGGGCTATTGCTAAAGAAAGTCTCCTGGGAAGTTGCTGAAGCCTTCAACATCAAGTAAGCTCAGCTTCCATCAACGTCCAGCATGGGGAAAGAAGAAATTATAGAGAATCATCCTGCCCAGAAGCTTTGGGGTTCAAAACATTAGTTAGCTTTGAGTGCTGCCCCTGGGGGAAGCTGGATGCCAGTCAATGACCATGCTGCCCGTCTCCCTTCACACAGCCGCAGGGCACCTTGGTGATGGCCTCCACAAGAAGAAACACACACGGCCAACCTTCACAGGCCACCAGATCTTTGCCCTGGAGAAAACCTTTGAGCAGACCAAATACTTGGCTGGGCCTGAGCGGGCACGACTGGCATATTCCCTGGGCATGAGTGAATCCCAGGTAAAGGTGAGTTCTGCATACTCAAACTTTGGAGAACGAGGCAGGTAGACCTTCAGGGCCAAGGGTTGGTAAAGGTCAGCTTCATAGATAATCCACCTTCTGTTGTGGCTGTCGGCCGCCGGCCCCTCCAGCAGCTGAATCGGAGGAGGAGAAGGAGGTGTGGGAGTCAGGGTCAGCATTAAGGCAACCTGAGAGCTCCGAGGGGGAAGAGGGTATGGAGCTGTCAAAGACAGAGGCGGAGCCTGAGCTGTCCATCAGCCCTATCACTCCATCACTCCATCCATCCATCCATCCATCCATCCATCCATCCATCCATCCATCCATCCATCATCTATTGGAAGTGCCTACAAAGCACCTAGTAGGCACGCATATTAGAAGTATGTGTCTACTTTGGAAGCTGCTTCTTTATACTTCTGATTTAAAAACAGCTGCTCTGCAGGAGTCACACATAGTCCGAGAGAGCTCCTTTGAAGGATTTTTACACCTTATCTATTTACATGCCTGTCTATATCATGTATCGTTTTTCTCTCCTATTTATCTATCTATCTATCATCTCTCTCTCTCACTCTCTTTCTCTTAACTATCTATCTATCTATCTATCTATCTATCTATCTATCTATCTATCTATCATCTATCATCTATCTATCAATCATCTATCTATATCTTTTATCATCTATCATCTATCTATCATCTATCTGTCTGTCATTTATCTATCTATCATCTATCTATCATCTATCTATCTATCTATCTATCTATCTATGTCATTTATCATCTATCTATCATCTACTATCATTTATCATCTATCATCTATCTATCATCTATCTATCTATCTATCTGTCATTTATTATCTATCATCTACTGTCATTTATCATCTATCTATCATCTATCTACCTATCTATCATCTATCTATCTATCTATCTATCTATCTATCTATCTATCTATCTATCTATCATCTATCTATCATCTATCTAACTTCTCTCTCTCTCTTTCTCTCTCTCTCATATCATTGTCTATCCATATATCATCATCATCTCTCTGTCATCTATCATCTCTGTCTATCTATCAGATATTATTTATCATCTATCACCTTTCTCTCTCTCTAATCTATCATCTGTCATTATCTATCACCTCTCTCTCTATAATCTATTTCTATCTATCTAGCATCATCCATCACTTTTCCCTTTCTAATCTATAATTTATCTATCAACCTCGAATGTGGCAGGTACCCTGAAAAGTGTGCATGGGCAGTGCCCATCTTGCCTTGGGATAAAAACAGAACTCCCGCCTCCAATGATGGAGCAGAATTGAGTCTGTGTCCATTTCCTCAACTCAAAAGGTGATGCAGCTAAATCTATTTCAGGCTCCGGATGGCCCTAGACACGTCAATTAAAGACATGAACATGATGACACTTTTGTCTTCATTGAACTTCTACCCAATGTTAAAATGAAAGACACCCAACTAGGGGTGGGTTCTACTTACCTTTACTACTGGTTCGCATCATTCCTGTGCACACTCTTTTGTGCATGCACAGATCAACTTTGATGACATCCGGGTCAGTGGGCGGAGCCTCCCGCAGGTTTTACTACCAGTTCTTGCAAACCTGTCTGAACCGGGGGCAACCCACCCTGCACCCAAATGGCTTTCTTTTGCTTTTAAGGCCGCCAGCTTGCCATGAGCAGAAAGCGCCAAAAAGATAGCCGCTTCCGAGTCAAGTTTGGCCTGTGCCAGAAACCTCCTCCTAACAAAGCTGCCCATTTATTTTTCTAAAATTCAGCCTTCATGTCAACATGACAGCTGCCTATCCTCACAAGAGTATGTGACAGATTGACAGGCTGAATTGTGACTCAACTAGGATATGAAAAACTGAAGTGTTGAGGGCAACCAAGCCCAGTCTGACACTTTCCCACAATCTACTGGAGGTACATCTTTTTCAGTTTACAGGAAAATCTTTAGCTTTGAACATCCTGGTAAAGGAATTCAGTGGTTGAGAGTCCTTTCCGGAGAAGTCTTCAGGGACGGGATCAAAAAAGTCAGGATGGTACTTTCGGTGTTTCCCCGAAAATAAGACCGGGTCTTATATTAATTTTTGCTTCAAAAGACGCATTAGGGCTTATTTTCTGGTTAGGTCTTATTTTTGGGGAAATATGGTACTAAATGCATCCATCTGGCTGACAATCTTAACTGGGGCTTATTTTGGGGGTAGGGCTTATATTACGAGCATCGTGTAAAATCATGCTAGGGCTTATTTTCCAGTTGGGTCTTATTTTCGGGGAAACAGGGTAGTTACCTTCACGCAGTTGAAGCCCTGCCATTTTTTAATGTGACCCACATAAAAATCACCCTATCCCTGTGGACCACTCCTAGTCCTTTCACATTTGGAAAGGGTCAAGCTGGAGATGGCTCGTTCAAAGTTCAAGAGTTTTGATGTCTTGGTTACTCCTTTTTGAACCGTGTTCTTTCGCCCTCTCTTTTTTTGAAAAAATAAACGTGGCTATGGATTGCCTCTAAATTAATAATTAAAAGCTCAACAACCCATTAAGACAGCCACCCCATTGGAGCGCGTACAGTCAATTCATCTGATGAGCTTGTCAGTGGGTTAATGGTGGGATTAAATCTTCATAAATACGAGCAGAAATTAATTGATGGTTCCAAAGCGGGTGGATGGGAGAAAGAGACTTCAAATAACGCAGGCATTGCTGCCTTAGAAAATGGCATCTTCTTCCACATGAGAACGAGGAAAACATTTCAATTTTTTAATTATTTAAAAAATTAATTATTTAATTATTATTTAAGTCTGTGTCCCAGTGTAGTGGAAAACATTCTTGGTACTTTACTTTGACCCTCTAAAGGTTTTGAGCCAAGTGATCAAATCAATTAATTGTTTAGAGTAGGAGTGTCAAACGGCGTCACAGCAGCATCACATGACATATCAGGACTTTTCCCCCCTTCGCTAAACCAGGCATGGGCGTGGCCAGTGCGTGACACATCTGGCCCATGAGCCAGGAGTTTGACAGCTCTGGTCTAGACTATGCAGTCGGAGACTCCATCAAGGGTACAACATTTTGCCAGATCTTTGTGCTCCAAGATAGAGTGGCAACTGCAACAGGAAGTCTATTAAATTTATCTTCCTGAGAGCCACTGCCAGGGGTGGGTTGCTAGGGGTTCGCAGGGGTTTGGGAGAACCTCTAGCTAAGATTCTGTGCAATTCAGAGAACCCCCAAATGCCACTCCTGGCTGGCCCCGCCCCACCCACCCCGCCCTGCCCCTCCCAGGAGTCCCCAAGTGGCCTGTTTTGGATGCAGGTAAGTGCAGAGCACATGCGGAGGCTCAGGGAGGGCAAAAAACGGGCCTACTGGAAGTTTGGGAAGGCCGGAAACGGGCCTGTTTCTGGCCTCCAGAAGGCCTCCGGAGCCTGGGGAGGCCGTTTTTGCCCTCCCGGAGTTTTGAAGGAGCCTGGGGAGGGCAAAAACACCCCCGCCATGGTGCTGACTAGGCCATGCCCACGATGGCCACGCCCACCCAACAACCGAGCAGAGAACCCCTTGCTAAAATTTTTGAAGCCCACCCCTGGAGCCACCACTCTCATTCTTCCTTCTCTGTAACAACCAGTTCCTCCTTTCTGTTTCCTCCCACAATGACAGACTCTCTGGGAAGAGTCAATCACATTTGGCCAATTAACTTCTGGTCAAGACTGGGGCCAAGGGGCTTAGATGTCTCAGGGGCTATTAGATTGCCCATCCCTAGTTCAAGTCTAGGCCATGTTCTTGTAACCCAAGGATCCCTGATGGCCTTGCCTCCCTCCCCCCCTCCTTCCCAGGTGTGGTTCCAGAACCGGCGCACCAAATGGAGGAAGAAGAGTGCCCTGGAGCCTTCCTCCTCTTCCCCACAAGCAGGAGCTGGACCAGGCGAGCGCACCGTCTCTGATGAGGATGACGAATACAACAAGCCCTTGGATCCAGACTCCGATGACGAGAAGATCCGTCTCCTGTTGCGCAAACACCGGGCCACCTTCTCCGTCCTGGGTCTAGGCTCCCATAGTGGCTGAGAAGGACTGGCCTTGGTGGGGCCTGCAGGTTTCCGGGGAAGTTGAATTCAGCAGGCTGGACTTGGGAGGGTGGTGTCTCGATGGTGACTTGGGGGGAGGGGGAGGCCTTTCTCAAAAGTAGAACACAGAGGTTCCAGTTCTGGATTTGGTGCAGATGGGTAGCTACTGTGGCTGCACGCAAGTCACAGGACACCCAAGGAAGAAGCCCGCTAGTATCCAACTTGCCCCTTGGACCTGAGGCTTGCCTGCAGCCCTCTGTTCGATTGGGAAAGAGATGTGCTTTCATTTGTCATTTCATTTTTAATAATAATAATAATAATAATAATAATAATAATAATAATAATAATAATACCACCCAGGGACCTGAGATAGGCCGATCTGGATGTTTGACGGTGTTACAGATATCTTCACAGGATGGAAGCTGTTCCAAGTCAAGCTGCCTTCTGCAATTGACTGATGGCAAATTTGTCGATGCCCATGGTGTTCAACTGGTGCGCCAGTTGTTTTGGGACTGCACCCAAGGCCCTTATTAAAAGTTTATAATAATAGTACCAATAGTAATAGGGATCTTGGGTGCAGTCCCAAAACAACTGGCGCACCAGTTGAACACCATGAGCATTGATAAATTTGCCTTCAATCAATTGCAGAAGGCAGCTTGACTTGGAAAAAGCTTACATCCTGTGTCGATATCTGTAACACCATCAAACATCCAGATCTGCCTATCCCTGATCCTTGGGTAAACAAAAATGCCAAACCCAGTCTGAACATCTGGCTGACTGTGTTGTTGTTGTTATTATTATTATTATTATTATTATTATTATTATTATTATTATTATTATTATTATTATTATTATTATTATTATACCAATAGATGAAATGTTTCAATCAAGCTGCAAAATGGCTCCCAAGTATAGCATGATTTGGACATTACAGCCGTCGGCTCAAAGGTTCCTTTCATAGCTACTTCTCCCTGGTTCAAACTGAACTACATTGGAAATTTTGCAGGAATTTGGGAGTGGTTTTTTTTTGTGGAGTGGGGGAAGGAAAGTTGGAAGAAAAGGGGGTGCTTCTAGTGGAGTTATGATTTTATAATGCAACCACTATGTTTCATCCAACTACCATGTTTCCCCGAAAATAAGACCCTGTCTTATATTTTTTTGAACCCGAAATAAGCCCTTGGTCTTATTTTCAGGGAGGTCTTATTATTTTGGGGCGCGTGGAGCAAGACGGGGCTTCTTTTGCCGTCTTACCTGATTTCCAGCTCTGTCTCCCTAACCCTAACCAGAGGAAATGGCGGGGACCGGCTGTGCATGCATTTAAATATTTTCAGGGAGGGCTTATTTTTGGGGAGGGCTTATTTTTGGAGGATGTCTTATTTTTGGAGAAACACGGTACTTGTACAAGAGGTTTTAGATCGGCGTTTTCCAACCTTGGTCCCTTGAAGAAATGTGATATCAATTCCCAGAGAGTTGAAATCCATACCTCTTCAAGGAACCAAGGTTGGGAAACACTGATCTAGATAATTCTGCCTTCCACTTGTAAGAACCTGTTCCTTGCTTCTTCTTCTCGCCATTGTATTTCTTTCCTTTGAGAATAGACAGAATATCAATTAATTTAAGGTCAAGCCACTGACAAATAATTTCAATTATGAGGAAGAGAGAGGGCCTCTGAAGGGCTCATTCTCCTTGCTAAATCATGTTGTTTTACCCACCCTCAAGGAAGAGAGTCAGAGGGGAAGGAGAGGGACTCAAATCAGTCCACATGTGGTCGCGGGTGAAGGCCACACCTTTTTAGATGTCCTGTGCATATAACTTGTATTGGAAAAATAGGGCAGCACTTTAATAATTGCCAGCCAGAGTTGCTTTGGATAGTGAGATGGGTGGCATATAAATTTAATATATAAAACAAAATGAAACAAATAAATTATATGATGGCAAACACCTTCCTGACTGGAAGAGAAGAGTTGACCTATGGGGTCCTTGGTGCTCTCTGAGCTTGGTGGTGTTCTTACAGATCTTTCATGACCCAACTAAGGAACACCATCAGTCCTAGAAGGGAACGGGGTTGGCTCTTTGTGGTCTGCCTTATCAGTGTCAGCGTTGGTGGTTCTTGGTGGTTTCTTGTTTAGGTTGTGGTGGTTGTTGTTGTTTTAGTGTTAACTTGCTTGTTTGAGTTGGTATATCCTTGATTGGGGTATCGTTTACATTTTGATTGTTGGCCTGGTATTAATCTTGGTGTTAATCTCTGCTGATCTGGATATTGATTGCTGGCAAGGAGGGGTTGTGGTCTTTTAGCTTTTGGATTGTCTCTTTTAAATGGTACGTAGATGTTGTTTATCTCCAAGTGCCTGTTGATGGCTGATTTGTCTGAATCCCAGGCTTCCAGGAATTATTTTTGGACTCAGCTTGGTTAAAGTTGCTCTAAATGCTCTAAATGATATGTAGATGTTATTTATCTCCAAGCGCCCGTTGATGGCTGATTTGTCTGAATGCCAGGCTTCCAGGAATTATTTTTGGACTCAGCTTGGTTAAAGTTGCTCTAAATGCTCTAAATGATATGTAGATGTTATTTATCTCCAAGCGCCCGTTGATGGCTGATTTGTCTGAATGCCAGGCTTCCAGGAATTATTTTTGGACTCAGCTTGGTTAAAGTTGCTCTAAATGCTCTAAATGATATGTAGATTTTTTATTTCCAAGCGCCCGTTGATGGCTGATTTGTCTGAATGCCAGGCTTCCAGGAATTATTTTTGGACTCAGCTTGGTACAGTTGCTCTAAATGCTCTAAATGATATGTAGATGTTGTTTATCTCCAAGTGCCCGTTGATGGCTGATTTGTCTGAATGCTGAAGGCTTCCATGAATTATTTTTGGACTCAGCTTGGTTAAAGTTGCTCCTAGTTTCCCAATTCAATTGCAAGGAACACCTAGATAAGCAGAGATTCATTACCCCAATCAAGGAGCCACCAACTCAAACACTCAAATAGTAAACAACAGCCTTGGAACCACCAAGAACATTCCCACCAACACTGACACCGATAGGGCAAGCCACTTGTATATGAATAGGGAGCAAATCCCATTCCTTCTAGCACTGATGATGTTACCTATTTGGGTAATGAAAAATTTGCAAAAAAATTAACAACCAAGCTCAGAGAGCACCAAGGACCCTGTAACTCCCTGACATGTTTTGACCTCCCCTTGCAAACTTTCCTTTTCGGGAGCTGAAATCAATCCATGAAGATGAAGAATAGCATTAAATCAGAGCACTTTACTTAGCTTCATTCTTTTGCTATTTTCTCGAGAGGAGGCGAGATGTCGTCTCCAATTGTTTGCAATTTTGTCAAAGTCCTTTGTAATGCACACGATACAGAATTGCTTTCGATAAGAAGTAAACTACAATTCCCAGATTAGGGGAAACGACATAGAGTAACTAATAGAGACTTGTAACAGACTTAGTATAGGATGGATAAATTAAAACCTAGCAGCCTTCTGAAGAATAATTCTGACAAATGCAATTGTTTTAATGGGGCATTGTTTTAAAAATCTGATTTAAAAATAGGCATCAAATCCTATATATATAGGATATATATAGGATGTATATATTTGATGTATATATGTATATATATATATAAAGGAGGATTCCCTTTACACTGAAACTAAGAAATGCAAGCTTTTGAAAAAGCTTGATGTAATATGTATGTATGTGTGGGTGTGGGTGTGGGTCTGTGGGTCTGTGGGTGTGTAAGGGGAGTCCTCCTTTAGCAACTCCAATTGGGACTGGCCATTGAAAGTGGACGCTAATTGAAACCACAACTGTGTTATGATCCTTTTTTCGGCTTTCTTTTGCTTTAGAAACCTGCATGTGAGGATTGCTCATATAGTTACTTTTCCATCACTGTTGTAACTGCAGGTTGTGGCTAAACAAGGCAGTTGTGAAACGTGACTTACAATTGTAATTCCAGGTTGAATTACAGTCGCACGCCAAAGATTAGCCGTAATTTTAAAATTCAAGTACAAACTTTCTCTGACACCTTCCCTAAAATTCAGGATTCATTTTGCCCTATTGGTCCACTGGGGATGTTTCCAGATGTTGCATTTTGGGGGTTTAGTTGATGTAACTCCCGTTTTTTTGAATTTGCACCTGCCATTGGAAGATTATGAGAATTGCCCCCCTGTAACTGGAGAGGCACAGAGGCGGGGGAAAATCACATTTCTTTTTATTTCCTTTTAGTGTTTTCTCTCCTGGTTTAATTTCTTTTCAAAAGCTACTTTGGCATAGGTTTATTTCCAGATGTGGTATATTTTGCTGACCTTGAAAATCAAAAAGATGCATAATTTGATATTCAACTTTTCTCACCTGCCTATTTTTATTTTTATTTTTAAAAACTGTTTCCCACCCTTGGAGAATTGGGAAATTCTGGTAGGTGAAACACAATTAGAGAAGGAAACACTAGAGGGGCTAATTTGTGGATGGAGAATGGGCTGACCAACTGGGCATCCATCCATGCCCAGGAGATGGGAATCTGATTTTGCAAAACTGAAACCCATTTCTGTACCCTTCCTTAGCTGTCCATCAAATTTGCAGGCTTCTGAGTTGTGCCCTTTCCCTTTTCGAAAATTGTATTCGAAAAACAAAAACCTGTACAAAAATGCATCTGTTTATGAAAGACATCACAGAATTCACAACAAATGTATACAATCATGTTCAGAGAAATGTGCACCCAATGTATGCAGGGTAACTGCAGGCTAAAAAGAAAATACGCATCCCCTTGCTTGATGTACTGTAGCTGTGAAAATGAGAAAAAACTGATTTTTGCAAAAAGAAAGAAACTGTAGATTCCCATAAATGGGGAATGAAACAACAGATTTATCCTTCCCTCTTGCTCCTATACGCACACCGCCTGCAACTTTGGCTTCTGTCTTCTTAAAAATATAGCAAGGCATCTCCAGGAAGTGAATGCCCGTTCTGGTCTTCTGGCAGACGGGAGAGATAATAGGAAAATAACCAAGTTTATCTTGGTCCTTCCTGCCAAAGGAGACTCGGAAGTCTGTAATATGGAAGAAGACGGAGGTCCCCTAATCGTTGAGAGCTTCACTTGTTCCGTGTCTGTCGTTGTGGGTTGCATCTGTGTGTCCGTTGAGCTAAATCTGACCTTCTTTTGTCTTCTCTGAGCTAGTTATTCTCTTATCCGCAAACTTTTAGAAAGGCACAGAATGCTGGGGATATTCTGTTAGAGATACTTCTGCAGTTTAATGTAGTCCATTCTAGGCCGTTCACCATATCCATGAGATTCAGGGCGAAACTTCCTTTGGTAAGGAAAAGTCTGCAAAACCGGGAAGTAGT